CACAAAAAGATCGGATTGAACAAAAAAATCCGAATTGTGGATCAGAACCTGCAGAGTGAACGTAGCCTTAGTCTGACTGTAATCAGGGTTTGAGAACTCCGATTAAGACACCCAGATAATGAGATTGGAATTTAAATTTTCTCTACCATGTAACCGGCGTAGTCGGAGTATGATCGGACAATGCATGTGCGCCACGCCCCGTAACCCCGAAACAAAAACACCAGAGAAGAGGAGTAGCGTTCGTCTCATCTGCAGAAAAAGCAGCGCGTCCATCATGTCGGACAAAAACAACGCTGTACATTTTTGACGGTTGTATGGGGTCGGAAGCACGGCCACTGAAAGGACCCACATCGCCCCCTAGTTTGAGTGAGGAGGACACGTTCACGTCAGTAATTTGATTCTCTCAGCTGCATGTAAACGAGGACAAATGAAACGAATTATGAGTTTAGTCCGATTAAACTGTGCATGTAAACGCACTGACTGATAACCGCCATGAAATGTCACGATAAAGACGCGATTAGGATATTTTCGGAAAACTTAAAATAAGAAAAAATAAGCCAGACAAGCTTAAAATTCCACTTAAAAGCACCAAAAATAATCAGATTTTATGAGCCGTCTTTGGAGAAGGTGTTGCCACAATAAATGATTGCCGATCGTGCTTTTATTTTGAAATTTTTATTGCTTCAAGCCCAGAATTTATGCTTTTATTTTGAAGAATACTCATTCCAGTCTGTCATGAGTTACAGAGCGAAATGAAGACAGTTAAAAGTCAGAAAGTATAAATAATCACAGGATTAGTGACCTGAAAAAAAAACACGAACTCGAACGTCTGTTTTTAAAAGTGCTGAGTAGAAGCTGCTACAGCAAGCTCGCCATCCTTCTTCTTCTTCTTCTTCTTCTTCTTCTTCTTCTACTTCTTCTTCTTCTTTCTCTGCGTCTATTCTCCATTTTTTCCTTGACATATGAAAACCAGTGCAGCTCCGACTGAGGGAAGAAAAATGCCGACTTTTGTTGGAGTTGTGCCTCTTGAGAAATCTCATGATGATTGTAAAACCTACTCGTCATTTAGACTCAAACACATTTGAAAAGACCGATCTTACAAACACCTACACTTCTCCTGAAATCGAAACCATCTCTCTTCACTCTCAAGTCCTCGAATAGCCTTCAAAGTTTAAAAAAGAAAGTCAGCGCACACTTTTACCTCTACGTGAACATCGAAGGATAAAAAAATAAATTAAAAAACGTACAAACAGAAATCTGAGGATTTAATTCTAGAAATTGTTTTCCTGTTGTCTCTTTTGAAGCCATCAGGCCTCATTTAACCTGCGTTTACTGCGCCTGTTCACACACACACACACACACACACACACACACACACACACACACACACACACACACACACACTCTTCCCTCTCTGCTCCTCAGAGCTGCTCTCTCCATTAACAGGCGACCACAGCGAGCCTCCTCCATTTAGGTCCTCCAGTCCAGCCCCCCCACCACACTCACACACATTACACACTTCTATTACACACATGTGGAGTACACACACAGCCTCCCCTCTCTCTCTCTCTCTCTCTCTCTCTCTCTCTCTCTCTGCTGCGTCTCGGAGGGTTTGTGGACAGATTGTTTCTCCTGCAGACGAGCGGCTGTATTTGTTTTCTCGGAGCTGCAGACAGTAGCAGACCGCCGGGGTGTGTGTGTGTGTGTGTGTGTGTGTATGTGTGTGTGTGTGTCCACAGTTATGACAGAGTGTATCGTGTAACGCAGGATCTGTGGCCTTTCGCCTCCACACGTCTGACAGGCCTGCGTGTGTTTGACACTGTTTGGGATTGGCAGGAGCGTCTCTGCGTCTCCGGGGCGTTTAAAATCGAAGTGACGCGTCGTGTCAGACTTTCTCCAAAACTGAGCGCCATGTGAGGAAACGCTAAAACACACACTCTCTGTTTTTCTAAATTTTGAATGTCAGGGTTTAATATTTGATCAGTTTGGAGTTACTGTAACTCTCTGACAGGATCTCTCACAGACGTTTGTCGTGTTTTTCTTTCTTCTGTTTTAATTTCAGATAAATGAATAAACTTGATTTCAGCAGGAGAGTAAACACGGAGGAGACTGTGTGACATGTAAGTGACCTCCCGTGTCCTCAGGTGACTCTCCTGGTTAAACATTAAGGTCGGCGGCTGATTGAGTTTGCCCTCTTGGAATCGATGTTTGAGCTTGTTGTGTGTCTCTCTCTCTCTCTGTGGATATTTTCATTAAAAGAATAAAAACCTCTGTCTGTGGAGTTGTCTCTGACACTCAGAAGTGACACAAACATTTTCCTTTAATAATAAAAAATAATAATAAAATATGAATGATGATTTAACTGTATTTAAACAGGTAATCATAATGTAATCTCTACATCCTTCAATAAAGATCTATTATGAGGCTTTAGAGTTTGAAAAATGGTTTTATGGTGTTTTTCAAATATTTACTTTAAGTACTTTAGTGTCTGAAAAAACTGTAAAGTGTATCACATCAAATAATCTTAAATTGAAGTATCAAATATCAAACTCTATTGAATTATATCACATCATTTTATGTATCACCCAGTATAATAATCCTGTATAAAAACCTCACCAAGTGTTGCATCAGTTTGTATTTGTATAATTTCATTGTTTCACATTGGTTTTGAATGATATCTTATCATTTATCGAATAGTATTAAATTATCACATATATCGTCACAAATCGTATGGTCACACATTGTATTGTCACGTATCATATCGCCGGAAAATGTATCATCTTGTTTCATATCCTTATGCATTTCACCTTATGAATTGGTGAAGCATTGTCACGTATCAAATTCTCATCTCATTATCTCATATCATCTCATCATATTGTCACAAATTGTATCATCATGTATCGTATTGTTCCAAATCGTATTTTCACGAAATGTATCGTCTCATGATGATACGTACCGAATCGTCACGTATCATATTTTCTTGCATTTTACTTTATTAAATGGTATCACATCATCATGTATCGAATCATCATCTCATCTCATCTCATATCATCACATCATATTGTCACAAATCGTAACATAATGTATCGTAATGTTTCGAATCGTCCACGAATTGTGTCGTCTTGTACCAAATCGTCACGTATCATATCTTCATACATGTCACCTTATTGAACGGTATCACATCGTCACGTATCGAATCATCATCTCATCTGATCTCATATCTTTACATTTCACATCATATTAAAAGGCATCGTATAAACACGTATCTTATCATCCTAACACATATCGTCACACAGATCGTCACATATTGTAACAAATATAAATATAATATTGAATGTTACTGTGTCGTCATGTACTGTTTCTCATGTTTCTCATCATATGGTATCAGATCACATAAACACTTCGTACCACACAACATCATCTCATATCTCATTGTGAAGGCTGGAATCATTCAGTGTTTATCGTATCACATATCATCACATCATATTGTGTTATATCGTATGTTATAATCATGTCTTAAAATCGTATCGCATCAGGTTATTTTCTGTGCACAGTGTTGTTTTCTTATATTATATCTTTAGTTTTGCACAGTGTCGGATTGTATTGTGTTGTTTTTTTTTATCGTACCGTACAGAATTCTAGCCTATCAAATAGTAACATTTGATTAACTGTTGTTTTTATATAGTTTTGATTCATAGTATCAAATTTATTTTTATAATTGGACAGAAAATGTTTGTGTTACCCAAAACTAAATTACGAGAACGCACAAAAAATGTGTGAATCCAAGTGTTTTTTCCTGAAGTCTATTTTAAACTTCTTAAGATTCATCAAAGTCTGAAACTTAATTCAGTTTGACTTTGTGAAACGTTTCATGATACTCGATTATAACGCTCTTGTCTTGTACTTCAGTCTCTTGAAAGTCTTAAACAAAGACCACCTTTACCGTCTCCACTAAACCAGCTGTTGTGAAAACCTCTGCATGTCTTCAGCGTACTGACTCAAACAGATTCCTCTCTTTTGATAACGGTCTGCTTCAGAGCGGTTACATAAACCTGATGTCTACACGTCGTCGTTCCAGATAATAAAGATGTGTCATAACAGAGCTGAAGAGCCCGCCTCCAAACACTAAGAGAAAGAGAAAACCTTGTCAGAGTTCTTTGTGACTGAAAGCTCGGCTCGGAAATTAAATGTAAAGAAGACAGACGTGTAAATGCTTCAGTTTTTATTTTAATTCTGGATTTTGCATAAAGTTACGTCTAGTTTTAGGGTACAGCGCTACAGTGGAGGTCCTGTCGCACTTTTTATACTTTCATCACTTTAAGAAGAAAAAAACAACAACAACACAGATTTAAACATTTATTCGTCCATGTGTGCTCGGTCGACTCAAACAGCAGCTGAGTCCAACAGATGAAGAAGACTCTTACCCCCAATTTCCACCACATCCGGAACAGCTCCGTCTGCCGTACGCCATTTCCTACTGGATCTGTTTGTGAGGCGATTTCATGGTGGATTACGGACAAGAACCCTCTGATTTACATGCAATTATGCGATAACAAGTTGTCTTTAGCCACAGACACATAGACATATAAGCAGTAGATTGTGTCCCTCCAGAGGAGGAAATCTACTTCTAGACTTCTAGAATCAGCATCTCCTCATCCATGGTGTCATCGGGGTGAAATGACGTCTAAAAACCTTTCACTTGTTCGTCTCCGCCCGTTTGCATGGTGTGAAATACGATCCTCCTGAAACACGGAGTGTTTTATTTTGAAAAGAAGCCGGATGTTTTATTTTGTGTCTGTGCCCGACTTCCTTTCCAGCACGGGTTAATCTTTGCTGAATTTATCCGCCATGCTCCGGCGTCCAGAAAAAATAGAACTCTTGTGATCAGCTGAGGAGTCCGGCGATCCGCAGAGGAACGGAAAGAAGTCGGTGTAAATCGACACGTTAACTTGAATGTTTACGAACTGAGGATGCGACCTTTTCGTGGTCATTCTGGATGTGGTGGAAATTGCCCGTTAGCGTGATCATGTTCGCTATCTAAAGTCTTAAAACTCCTGTGAGGAACTATTTTATTTCTGTGCGAGTTTTGGCGCCCCCTGTGGACAAATCGGTCTTTGCTTATTATCTCATCCCCCTGACTTTTGACAGTCAAACGTTTTATTTATTGTGGATAAAAACAGGAAAGTTTAATCAGCTGCACATGTAAAAATGTATTTCAGTTTATTTCACTGAAGTAAAAAAACTCTTTAAATGAATAAACTCTATGAGATAATGTAGGATCAACATTAAAGCAATATTCAGTTTTATTCTTTGTGCTGAAAGTTCATCTCAGAGTCATGCCCCCCTCTTTTTTTCAGCCTGATGAGGATGACTCTCATCTGTTGGTGGGATGCTTCCTTTGTTTTTCACTCTTCTTCCTCTCTCCTGCTCTGTAAAATCTCTCCATGGTGACTCTTTCTTCTTTATCTCAGTGCAGCGTCTCTGCTGCTTTTGCCTTTTCCTCCTCGCTGCACCGTTTCCTACAATCCGACACGGCAGCAACATCACGGTCTTCGTGTAAATCCGTCTGAGCGTGGCAGAGTGTCTGTAAGACGCCCTCCTCCTCCTCCTCCTGACAGCGGCTGTATTGAGGACCGCTCTGGCCTCCTCTATTAGAGACAAGCCGAGTCTTTTACACGGCGGTGACTCCGTGTGTGTGCAGCTCTGATAGAAGGTTACGATCCGTGTGTCGACACAAACGCTGCATTTTCAGGCCTCATTTCTCAAGATTTACCACGAGCCTCACGTGGAACCACGCCAGGTAAGCACTGGTCGTTATTAACCAGCCGGAGCTCTTGACAGATGTTTTTCTAATACAGTACGGCGCTTTTTTCCCCCCTCCATCAAAAGAGACCCAACAGCAGCATCGAGGGCAGATCTGTGCGATTTTCCAGCAGATGAAAGTGAATATGTAATTAACACGCTGTAATTGCTGGCAGTCTCTCCTCTTTTTATATCAAGATGAAATGATGCGAGCTCTTTCCCCAGCCAAGGTCAGAGGCCCGAGCCTATGCCGTACATATTTAATGTGGAGAGACAGAATGTGAACATGTGTGACTGGATCCTCCATCTTTACTGGATCTGAACCTCCTCCTCAGCTGCTGATGCTCATTTTGGGCCTGTGGAGTAAATAACTCACTCAAATCAATCACCGTGTTGCATCTTAACTCTGCATTATTGATTATTTTCAATGAACCGTTAATGAGAAATGTTTTTTTCTTTCACTTTGCAGAAGATGATTGTTCATTTCCTCATTTTCCAACATTATTCGGTAGCCAGACCGCAGCTCCAACTCGCTCCGCCTCACATAAAAGCGAACGGGCTACCTCCGCCTCGTGTGCTGACGTGGTTTTGTGGCTCGTTCTTCATTTTGAAATTGTTTCAGCGTTACCGCCGAGCTCTATAAACGCTCGCCCAACCGCCGTTCTGCTCCCTGCAAACAGCATGGCGAGCTCGAGCCCTAAACGGACTTCAAACGTAGAGAAGGAGAATGATTCAGCTTCACGAGCACCCGTGAAGAATCCGTTGTTGGACGGTGAGAGATGGAGCTGTTAACGTCCCCCCACCTCCATCCCGGTGCCCACCAATGGGATCAGATTAAGTCGGGCTATCGGGGCCCGTCCGGTGCTGGATGCATGATGACCTCATCAGATGTGGTTCGGGTGGTTTGGCAGCAGAGGAGCGAGTGTAAGCCGTGGCAGGAGATGAGAGGAAACTCAGCAGAGACATTTTCTGCGAGAAGAGCCCGTTGGTGCAGACACCGGCAAAGTTTATGTGACGCAAGTTAGCCGCCGAGAGCGATGCTTTGGAGACACACGGGGGTCTAAATCCTCCACAGAGACACATGCAAGAAAAAACCTCTTTGCTCACTTGTTTCCTTCTGTATGTGGGAGCGCTGAGACGTTGATAGTTTGGAAAATCGGGAGGTTATTATTGTAAAATAGTTAAACAGGTTTGCAGAGTGTGGCTAACACTAGAAGAGCTAGTACCACCAGTCTGTGATCCTTCTCGATGAGCTGGTGCCTGTTAACCAGAAATATTCCAAATCCAGCTCCTTCTCAGTTTTCTGCATCAAAACGGCGAAACTACGAGTCACCATCTGTCATGTTTAGAGGAGCATTCTGGGATTATTGCAGCTTGACACCACCGGTCTGACTAGTGGTAGAAAGATGTACTACAGCTTCAACACACCTCAGGCCCACAAAAACAAGATATTAATGACTCGTTTAATTGACGATTGATTTAATAATGTATTGCACACATCCTTATTACTATGTTTAAAATGTAAATATAAACAAACTGTAAGATAACACTTCCAAGAGGACGTCTTCAAGTTACTATTTTAATCATAATTAATTATGAAAAGAGTGAGAGTCCAAAAATAAATTGAAAAAGTAAAACAAAAAAAAGAAATTAGTAGTAAATCTAAAAGTAATTGCGCTTCCAGGTTTTTAAGACATAAAAATGCTTTCAAATGCAAAAGAAGGTTTTTGCGATTAATCGCTGATAAATTCTGCGATTAATCGTGTATTAAAAAAGAAAATACACAGCCAACAAAATAGATTTTTTTAAAAAGCAATATAGGGAGATGGAAACAAAATTAAACAAATTTTAACCCACCTGTTTATTAAGACTTAAAACTACTTTCACATGAGAAAATGGAGTAATTTTGAATGTTGAAAAAATTCAATTTATTGCTTCTAACCGTTGAAATTGTACAATTAATCGTGAGTTTTAAAATAGAGTATTTGACAGGAACAAAAAAGAAGTGATAAATGAAAAATCCAGAGAGCGACGTGCTGATTTTGACCAAAAGTGTCTTTTAATATGGAAAATAAAGGAAATTTAAATGTATGATTAAAAATGCAACCTATCCAGAATTAGCTTTTAAAATTCTGAGTTTTTGTGATTTTGAAAATTTATCGACAGTCTTAAAAATAAACAGAAAAGAAAACAAAAACCTAAAAATGTATAATGACCTTTAGATGCAGTCAGCGTCCTGGTTTAGACTTTAAAAATGCAGAATAAAAGAATTTTAACGTGCCATTAAGAATGCGATTAATTGCGATTAATTTGAAAATCTGCGATTAATCGCGATTCTGAACAAGTATTGATTGATTGACAGCCCAGAGAGGAAATAACATTTTAAGAAACAGAAACTGGAGAAAAACTTCAAACCTGGTTAATTCAGACTTAAAACTGCATTTACATGAAAAACAACAGAATGTTCAACATCCGGGTACAAACGTGATTAATCGCAATGAACTGTTGAAACTACAATTAAAAGTGATGAGAATGAAAATACTTTGATTGACAGCCACAAATCAAAAAATGGAAATGAATATGAGATTTAAATTTAAAACTCAGTTTCTACCTGTAACTCCATAAAATCAAACACAACTGACCAGAGAAGACTTTCATATTGATTATTGTGCACTTAACTTTGGGTTTCCTAAAATCTACTTCACACACTCATTAGAAAATATAATCAAACGGTTTCAGATGCAAAGAAACGAGTTTATTTCTTCGTTTATATTTCCAGTTTTTAAAAAACCATTGCTCCGTGTTGCAGAGGTGATTTTGAACCTTTACCACATTGAGAAAACGCCCCTAAGTGCCGCTGTAATCACCAGTTTAATGCTGTACTGTAACATGACAGACGTCACCGAAAAGAAAAAGTGACAGAAAATCTTCCAGATCTGCCGGAGCTCACAGACCATTAATTGCAGTTGTGACGCTTTTTTCCCCCTCATGTAGATCAACAATGTCTTTAGCAATTAGACCCCACGCCCTCCCCCTTCCTCAGTCTGGGGCTCGAGTCCTGCATGTCACCCTCTTCACATAATGAAGAGACAGGCGGCGTCATGCGCGGACTTGGCGATCCGCTCCTGACATGAGAGTTAGAGTATTAAATGGACTAACTGCCGGCTTTACCGCGGAGGAACACCGGCGTGTGAGCCCAATGATTACCGCCGCCCCAAACAGAAATGACATTTGTCTGACAATAAAATTGGATACTAACCTGTCTGAAAGCAGTCTCCATTTGCCTAGAACAAACGTTGGCAAACAGTTTGACACACTTTCCCCTTGAATGCAAAGAGACGGCGAGCCATCCTTTGGCTCACGGTAATGGCCCCTCATTGTTGGCCGCAGAGGATGTGGCGCTATTCATACCGGTGGATGATTGAAAAGAAAATTGAATCCCTTTTGATGTGATAAATGTGTCTATTACTGCATTTGCACACAAAATGTCGGTGGAAATTATAGTGGGGAGGCAGGGCTCAGAGGAGAAAATACATAGGGATGGCATATTGGCTAGCTTTGATTGGAGCTGAAATATAAATATACTGTACCGGTGGATGTAATGAGTCCAAGCTCCCTGATTTTTCCACAGGAACTTCACAAATGAAAGGCCTTGACAGCCCCAATTGTAAGACTATATAAAAAGGTTAAATGTCTGCATAACTGCCTCTCTCTTTTTCTCTTCAGAGAGCTGTTTGATAAAGGACACCAACAACTGTTTGCCTTCTAATAAAAGGGAATTTTCTCTTTTCAAAAACTTCTGAAAGACGCCAAGAAGCCGCCGAGAAAGGAGCCCCGCTGTTCTGCGGTGCGTCAACGACCCTCCTCTGAAGGACAAACTCATTTCAGATTGTTAAATTGGTTGATGAAGTAGTTTCATGTACAGGTTTACAAAAAAAATCACTTTTTTATGGCCTTTTAGGAAATGAATGGAATGCAGGTTTAATAAGAGGTGTTCTTTTTTCGTAGTCGACAGTTGTAGGGAACATTTCATAAGGATATTGAGGTGATACTTATTAACGTCGCTAAATCTTGACTTTTTCAAAATGACCTCAAATACCGATCTTAGTATCCTCCATGTGTGAAGAAGAGCCCAAAGTTTAGAGAATCTATCTTTACAAACGTGTTTTCTGACGCACTAATGTGGAAAAATTTAACATTACAGCTCCTGTGAGCAGTTTTTTGGCATCCCTGGAATAGCCTTGAATTTGTATTCATGCAAAAAGGACCATCAGTATCAAAATGATTGATTTTTATATGTTAACTTTTAAAGGATAAAATTGGTGTGAAGGTGGAAGTTTTCAGTTTTATTAATTCCCACATTAAATATTAACAATGAACGATAAATTTCACTGTCAAAAGTCAGCAGGATGAGATTCAGTCAGAAGACGTTATTTAAACAATGGAGATAGAGACTGCTTTGACCACAGGGGGCGCCAAAACTGCCACAGTAAAGTTCCTCATAGAAGTTTTAAAATCGGGGTATTATGCTTTTTTTCCCCAGAGTCTATACTTCCTTTCTCGAACAGTTTTACATGATTTTCAGATCCAAAAGAGCCTAAAATTTCTTACTCTGGTGCATTAAAGTATCACACTTTTTTTCTGGCTGCTGTCTCTTTAAGGCCCGCCCTCTCCACGACTCTACTTTCTTCTGATTGGCCACGTCCATGGAGGCATTACAGAAGCTGGCTGAGTGCAGATGTTCTGGCTCCGCCCCCTCTATTTGTGGTCCATCAGTTGAGACCTCCTTCATTCCTCTTGAGTTGGTCTAAAGGAATATTAATTTCCCTTTTATGGGGATCTTACAGAGCGTGCGTATTTGCCACTAGCACAGATTTAACTGTTGAGTATAAAGATTTGATGGAATTAAAGCACTTCAGCGTAGACTGAGAAATCTCAACAACCATTGGATAAGACTTCATTTACATTACACATGCAGGTAGAGTGCAGACGACTCCATCCTTCATGAAATGGTGAATGATAGCATTGTAAAACTTCGTCATGTGTGGTTAGCACATGTTCACCAAAGTCTCTCCAGTCATGAAATACCGTTAAAATTCCTACTAAGGTTCGGTGGAAACAGGTCAGCCACTCATGGTAGCCCGAAGTTTCTATGCTGGATCAAACTCTCTGCTTCCACCTGGATTTGGTGACGAGGCTAACATTGGTGGCTTAGCTACACGCTTAGAGAATGTGGCTCTGAAATCACTTTTCTGTCGGCACATTTGTTCTGAAAACGAATCTTATGTAAAAACCATGGAGGCGTACACAAAACAAACAAAAATTCTGTTTTTCAATCACAGTTTTTGCCAGAAGGATGCTATCAAAGCCGAACAGCTGACAGTAAATTCATCCAGTAAATGTGGTTTTTATTTTTGTGCTCTGGGGTTAAATGGTGACTGAGATTGTTAAAAACATAGATGCAGCCTCAGTGACCTTTAGTCTTTATGCTAACCTGTCTGTCAAGTCAGCTGTTCCCCTAATCAAGCAAAACTCATAACCTTAAAATCTTCAGCACGAGTGAATTATCAATAAAATTCACGGTGTGCGGAGAATTACACGAGCTATTCAGACCAGAATCGTTCTTGTATCAGGCTGTGAACGTGTGTGTTTTTGCTGCAAAGTTGACCCGTTTTGAATGGGTGTGTATGTGACTTTTAGAACCTTCAGAGCCAGCCTCTAGTGGACACTGGAGGAACTGCAGATGAAACTCTTATGTATTGTTTTGGTTATTGCAAGAAAATGTAACCCTTAGTATGAGATAAATAACTTGATATTAAGGAGAGTGGGTGCAAAAATATTTTATTTTTATGACTATACATCGTCCTGTCCTTGTTTTTATTTCCACTTCTCAGTGAATAGACGGAGCTCGGCTTTTATTTCTTGATTTCAGTGGGGAAAAAAAACATCATCTGAGCTGTGTCAGGAAGTCAAGAGAAACTCCAGCAACATTAACTCAGTTTTGTTTCTCTTTTGTGCCGTCTTCGACAAAACTGTTGCTTTGTTGATCCTTTTATAAATGATTAATTTTCAAGGCTCAAAGGCCCAAAAGTTAATGTCTTCATTCTCCTCAGCCGCGATGAAGAGGAGGGAGGGAAAAAGGATCCAGACTCCGAGTGAGTGAGTCTGTCAGAACAGTAGATTAACGCACGCTCGGGTTAGAACACTCACGGGTTATTGTCTGTGTCAGCCCTCCTCTCCAGCTTTATTTAAGAGCTCCGCCGCAAACACCGACTCCTCTCTTCTGTTCTCCAGCCTGACCCTTACATTTTTAATCTCCACGCTCATCTCTCTCTCAACGCACAACGTCTTTGATGATGAGCCCCCCTTTGATGGCGAGCGAACTTCATTTGCGTCTAAAAGCTTGCAAAGTATTCGGTTCAAGATGATCACCGCGTTCGTGACTTCTAGGCAATTACAGTAATGATGCGAAATGGTAAACATTGGCCCAACATCTAAATAATTTAACAGGCTGAAAACACGCCGCTCCAATGTTTATGAAAGTCGTTTTGTGTTTACAGAGTGATCATGTTGAAATGTTCTGTGGCATTGAGTTAGCATAAAAGGTCCTGTTTGAATGGACTAACTGTGTGATGTTTAAATGGCTCCTCTGGATTTCACCACCACTTGGGTCAAACAATGGACTCCACCCATTTAAAGTTGTTTTTTCTGCACGCACGCCAAAGCATCTGAAACTGTTTACAGAGCCCAAAGTCATTTTAATGGCCCCATTTCTGTTGTGTGCTTACTTTTAGGCTTGAATGAAGTTCAATAAAGTAATCTGTAACCTACATTCGGCGTCCCCCCATGTGGGACTCGCTGCAGCGATGTTCGCGGCGAGCCAAGTTTTAATGTTAGATCAGCGCGGAGGGGCATCAGATGTCTGAGAGCTGTGTTAAACTGACTGCAAGGAGGTTTAGTTTTAGGAAAGAAAATATACTCAGCCCAGTTTGGAGACTGGTGTCTTATTTTTGTGGCTGACAGTGCTGACGGACTGACGTTTATTTGAACGGGTTACAACTATACACGGCATAAAACACCGACTTTATCCAAGTGACTTCACCCTCCGGTTTCTGGGGCGACGTCTTGAAGTCAAGCATTTGCTGTGGAAATAAGTTTGAAGTAGTAGTCAAGGTTCACCCCCCATTTCTACCGGATCTGGAATGCCAATTGGCGGCGATTTTTGCCGTCTGCCAATTCCTTCTGGATCTGTTTGTGAGGCGAATTTCGTGGCGGATTACGGACAGCAGGAATTGCGAGGACTCACACAAAAACCCGTGATAACGAGTTGCCTCAATAAAGACAGATACATAGACATATAAGCAGTAGATTGTGTCTTTTCAGAGGAGGAAATCTACTTCTAGACTTCCAGAATTCTGGACGCGTCCCGTTAGAGGTGTTCCGGACATGTCCCACCAGGAGGAGACCTCGTGGCCGGCCCAGGACCAGGTGGAGGGATTACATCTCTCGCCTGGCCTGGGAGCGCCTGGGAATCCCCCCCAAAGGAGGAGCTGGTGGAAGCGGCTGGGTTGAGGGCCGTCTGGGCTTCCCTCCTGAAGCTGCTGTCCCCATGACCCGGACCCGAAGAAGCGGATGAAAATGACAACGACTTCCATAATCAGCATCTCCTCATCCATGGTGTCATCGGGGTGAAATAGTGACTGAAAACCTTTCACTTCTTTGCAAAACAAAAACACGATCCTCCTGAAACACAGAGAGTGTTTTCTTGAAAAGAAGCCGGATGTTTTATTTTGTGTCTGTGCCCGACTTCCTTTCCAGCACGGGTTAATCTGTGCTAAATTTACGCAGCATGCTGAGGCGTCTGAAAACAAAAGGACCCTGGCGATTGGCTGCAGAATCCGCTGAACTGCAGCGGGACAGAAAGAAGCCGGTGGAATTTGACACATTATCTTGAGTGGAAACGATCAGCTGTGATCGGCGCAGACCGCCTTTTCGCTGCCATTGCGGATGCGGTGGAAATTGGGGGTTATCGCTCCTCGACCCGCCATGTCCCACAGGAGCTAGCTCAAATGAAGCTAACGCAGCGACTCTGACTGTTACAGAGCACCACTCTCACAGCAAAATAAAATCCTGTTTTGCTAAATTCCACTTACACAACACGTCAGACACCATTTTTGAAGTATCTTGAGTTTTCCTCGGTGTCGGTCTTCAGCACAGAGGACTTGTCATGAATACGGCTCACTGTCTGTTTTCACAGGAACTTTATCAACAGACTGAAAGTGGCTCTGAGGGTAATTTTGAGTCGATGGGATTATTTTTATTCTTAAAAGCCTTATATCAGTTTAGTTTGGTCCTAATTATTTACTTCCTGTTAAAATCAGTAAACTGGAGCAGAAGGAGGTCTGGTAAAGAATCAGTGTTTGTTCTCCTCTCTGTTGAGTTGTGTTTTAACTCCACACCTGCCTGCAGCAGCAGAGCTGTGGTCTGTGGGGGTTAATGTGTAAACTCTACAGCATGTCCATGAAGATGTCCACAGGAACATTGGCCCCTGATAAGCCAGCCGGGTTGCTGAGTCACTGGACACTTGAGTGGACAATTTCGGCAGATTCAGACACGGCTCATGGTTCTAGAATCGATCTGTTTCAGCAGGTCTTTGAGCTGTGTTCCGGATCAGGAGAACCTTTCAGAGGACCTAGTTCGAGTTTGTAGAACTTCATGATTGAACCTTCACTGGACCGTCCAGATATACTTGGAGGATGTTTTGATGAACGTATCCTGCACCTCTGAGTGATTTTGTAGTGAACGTGAACGTCTTTGGATCTACTGTTTCGATTATGGACAGATATTCTTCTCACGCCGAGGATCCACTTGTCCACGTGGACATCCGGATCGATGAGCAGGAACCTCGTAGAGGAATCCTGGAACTCCTCAGGAGACTCCGTCCTCACTGGAAGGCTAAGAACGTTCAGATGAAGGCAAGTGATTGTTTGATTCTCCAGACAGAGGACTGGATTATGAGTTAGAGTTTCATGAGGTTTGGGTTTTAATGAGTATAAAAACTAATGATTCAAAACTCAGCCACCTTCAGGTGAAGCATCTTAAAATCTTTAAGTCTTCTTCTTGTCGTTTCGATTAAGTCAACAATTCAGTCCTCTGTTTAGATGTTGGTTGAATTTGCGTTGACTGTCGTCACCATGATCGTGTCTGTCGCTCTTCCTCCTTTAACCACCTAACTTCATGATTTTCTTCTCCGTCAGATCACATGGTAGATTCATGTTAGGCTGCTCCGCCTCAGGTTCCCCTCAAACATCAGGATATCTATCAGATTTATGACTTTGACAGCACTCTGGTCTGCTTCTGGTGTTTTTTTCAGGGTAAATTTGACTCGGATATCTTTGTAGGAGCGGGTACCTTTGAGGGCGGCCCCCATCTTTCACTATGAAGGGACAAACTAATCAATCAATCAATCAATCAATCAATCAATCAATCAACCAGATTTTATTTCTATAGCACCAATTCACAACAGTCGTCATCCCAAGACGCTTTCCAAAGAAAAGAGCAGGTCTAGACTACGCTCACTGTTTGATGGATTATCAAGACCCAACCTAAGATGGGATTTGGCTCATCTCATCCAACGTGAGTGACAGCGGCGAGGAAGAACTTCCTTTTAAAAACCTCGAGTAGGACCAGACACGTGCTAGAGAGCCACCAGGCCGCTGCTGGGTTTGGGAGGATACAGAGAGAGAGAGAGAGAGAGAGAGAGAACTAGTAAATGCTCGTTTTTATATGTGAGCAGTAGTTGGTAAAAACTAGACGAATGGAGGATCGCACTAACCATGAACAGTGTTCTCACGATCGGTGTCGAGACTGTAGTCCACTCTGAAGACGGTGAATGGCGTTGGATTTCCGCCGTGCATTTGACATGGCTAATTCTACGAGCAGTTACGATGTGGTTGGTAGAGCTTACGAAGCGAACTCTGGAGGAGTTCGTAAACAAATCAGGACAAAAACACTTGTACGGTTTGACAGAAGTCCAGCTGCTGTCCAATCGGTGAATCTGAAGAGTCTACGAAACTTTCCATCAAACACCTAAAGAGAAAATGTAACTCTACGTCAGTTTTCAGTTATCTTTGTACGTTTTTTGTTTGCAGAAACTAACGGGCCTTGAGATGAAAATGATGAAGTCAGGCACGTTGAGGGACGAATGGTTACCCATGGCTAAATTAGATCTTTTTAAAGGTTTAACCTTCTGATATCGACATGATCTTGAGGAGAATTGTGTCAAACTGCAACTGAAACTCAAAAACATGTCTCTTAGTCTCTACATGTTTCTGTCTTTAAAATAAAAGAATAATGTCGTAACGATGATTTAACAGCACATGGTGCAGAAACCTTTACTTATGGCTGTATGTAGAGAAACTCCCTTTAAAAGCAGCAGACAGTCCAAGGTGATCGGACACAATAGTGGACTTTATTATTATCCTCTAACCCTGGGAACAGATGAGCAGTGTTGTCACAGCAGCTGTTCAGAACAGGATAATCCTTTTCTGGTCCCATGTGCAAACACAAGGTCCAATCTTTCGGAGAAATAGGGTTTCTGTTTGTCAGGTGACGGCCCGGCGGGTGGGTGACCTCTCAATCTACAGCGGGGCCAGAAATGTACACAAAAAAGTGGATGTTTCCCATCAGCGCTCAGATCCCCGCTCTCTCTTTAATGATGTATTGTGTTGCTCTGTTTGGAGTTTACAGACAGACGCAGTTTCTGCTGCTACTCTGCTGTCAGTGGTTCTTTCACAGACCTGTCCTCTCTAACTACCTCCTGTTAGAGCTGGTTTTCACGTGTGTCACCGTCTGACTGGAGGTGCTTTTAAGCCGTCCTGTGAGTCTCCTGTGAATCAAGGTGATGCAAAGAGAGGTATAGTTTCTGATTGGCTGCAGAGTCAATTCACCCCTGACACTAAAGGTCCTTTCACATCGGGATCGTTTTTGTCATGCGATTATTTCCGACGTCAGTATTTTTTTGGAACCCATATACTGTCAATACAAGCGTTCACATCAGCGACGTTTTCCGGTCCTGCGATATTGCGGCATTTTTTTTTTTTGCATCACGGTTGATTTTCACATCAGATTTGTTGTTGTTGGACGTCAGATTCACCGGTATATCCAACACAAACATTACAAAGATAACGACCTGAAGGACGACTTGTGGAGAGTCATAGCGTCGGATTTCTCATATGACGATGGTTTTTGTGCTTTAACAGTTTGATAAACGTCTTTGTTTGAACTTTCATCTGTGCTAAGTAACTTTAGCTCTAAGCTAACCTGTTCAGATACAACATACCATATGTATTTTCACTCGCGTTGCTGTCACAGCACCATTAGGTCTCGGTTGTTACCTTACGTTTATGGATTATAGTTTAATGTGTTTATCTGGTTCTGACCCGACTCAGTACATGCTATCATGACAGACAGACATCTCAACACTAGAGTCTGATCAGAACTGAAAAACACTCAGTCTAGTATAGTCAGGCGCATCAAAATTCGCCTCTGAATATTTCGTAATTTCGCGTCGTATATTTGCGCTGTTCCAGTTGTTTAAGGACCTTAAAACGGCAATAAAATTGGTGAAATTCCCTGTGCGTAATTTCAGATTAATGTTCCGGCTCTGTAGGAAATGGTTTACTGTGGGGTAGAGCGGCACGATTTTCCGAAAAGTGGATTTTCGATTTTTTTATTTAGTGACAACTTCAATAAACTTGGAACCCAGGAAATGGACAAAAGACAGAAGAAGAGTACAGAGCATGTGTGTAAAGGTTGTTTTGGCGCCATAGAAGAGTTCCTCTGTGTGTCACATGATCGTTTCCAGAGATGCAGATAGACATCCACACGGAGATGAAATGGTCGTCGTTTACAGATTTATTCACTCTCTGACCCGTTTTTAAAAAGTACAGTTTACAGTCTCTTAAAACGCCGATACGACAAAAAACTTTTGCGTTTCCTCCTGAATTTGTTTCCATGGTGACGCCTTCAGACAGACTTTGCAGACTCTTCATCTGGAACTGTGAAGTCGTACCAATTCAACACGACTGACTCGCTCTTGTCCTATTTAACCACGACATTATCGCCTTTTTTAGCAAACGCCATGTTTGTTTACACTGGTGTGTGTGGGAACTGGGGAGCCTACGGTGGCCTGGAGGTCTGAGACATGATAGAGAGTAAAATGGATTTGAGGATTTTACTTTTTCAACATTGTCATAATTAAATAATCTGATTAATCGTGCAGCTTTAGGTCTTTGTAAATCGAATCGAGTCTCGACCGTCTTTTTTGTGAAGGGTAAATATCACAAACACAAACAGGAGAGACCTCAAACAGAAACAGATGGTTGTGTGTTTGTTTGTAGAAGGACGTTCAGAATGTGACTCCTCTGGTCCCGGGCGCTGACTCTGAATACCCTCTATAAGATAAGACGAGATAAGCGAACTTTATCGATCATCTACGTGTCACAACAGCTCCCAGAGACATAGAGACAGAGTCCATCAGTGCGATTCAAACCAACGATCACAGTTTCCATGTGGTCATAAATACTTGATGGGCTGTCCAGGTGATCGTGTTTGTTCACTTTCATTCTCGATGGAAACCTCTGTTCTGAGCAGACCCCGTCCGAGGCTCGTGGAGTCCTCTGGGGACTGTGGCGAGGGAATGAAAGACTCTGAAAACCACCGAATGACAACAAAAGCCCCACGAGGCCGCGGCGAGCAAACACTGGTCACTGTGGTATTGTTGAGTACACACAAAAACAAACACACACTGACAGAGCGGTGGAGGTTCGAGGTTCAGCTCCCGGAGTCGACGCATAAATTAACCGTCATTAACCTGCTGAAGCGTCGACCGTAGACCTGAACCGGAGCACTTTTCTGCTCCTTCAGTCCAACTTTAATCATCTTTCGGGACGCCGTCGAGTCGAGTCGAGTCGAGTCGTCCTCCCAGAACATTTCTCCTCAGAGAGTTTCGTCTTTTAACTTTAATGGGATATTTTTCTTTTTTTACACGGAGTATTTCTCTCTCTGTGGTTTCTGTATTTTCTTTTTTTAACTCTCTCCTTTAACGGTGTTGCTTGTGTTTTTGACGTTTTGTTATTCTGGAGGATTTTGACTTGAGAAACTCCAGATTAAATGTGGTTTGATGCTAAGCATGCGGGCATTTCCTCAAGTTTCATTCGAAGCTCCAATAATCTCCTGCTGGTAAATGATCTTTGTACCAAAAAATACAAACTTTGACCAAAGTTTGGCGACTGGTTTGAGGCCGATTAGCTGAGACGTCGGTAAAGACGCTAATATGATACCAAAAAGTTGGAGAACAGATTCATGAAACCAAACTTTTTGCAACTTTTTTTTTGTACCACGATTTATAAACACAAACTCTCCTGTTTCAGTGATCGAATGAGAAAACGACGGCCTGTTGTGTAAAGCAGAAAAACTAACGTGTGAGAAAAGCCGTAAACTCCACCTTAAAGGGCATTCCCCTGTTTTACTAGCAGCTGTGTTATCGTTGTTATCTGCAAAGTTCCACATCAGAGCGTCTTTACAGCCTTCTTAGAAAATCTGTCAGTTTATGGACTCTGTAGAGACCGCAGATCTGCTGACCCTTCATGAACCGGCTCAGGTCCTCAGGTGAGGCGGTTCTGGTTCTTTTAAAGTCGAGGGTTGAATCTAAAGAGGGTCGTGTTTTTGGAGAAGATACGGTCTTTCGTAGTAGATCTTCTGTGATGAGACATCTGTTTATCACCTTTTTAATCTTCTTATTTTATTCTCCTCTTTTCTTTCATCACCTGTAAGTGTCTCTCCTGTTTCCCTCTTCCTCCTCCTCTTCCTCCTCCTCTCATATTTGTCCTTATCTGTTTTTCTCTGACTCGGCTCTCGCTCTGTTTTGTGGTTTTTGCTCGTGTTTGGGTTCAGTTCTGTCGTCTGTTCTGGTTTTGTAAAAAACGTTTCAGTGGTGCTAAATAAATTTCTTATAAATCTTTGTCTTATTCTGTTTTTTTTTCATGTTTCTTTTATTTTCTCATGTCTCTTGTTTTTCTTCTTTCATACTTTTTTTTGTTTTTTGTCTTTTTCTTCTCGTCGTTCACTCGCCTGAATCATATTTTTAACAAGCAGGTTCTTAAAAAACTTTGTCCGTTTGGTCTCATAGAGCCTGA